ATGGGAACTTTTGTAGTTGGTAAAAAATGACAAGACGGATAAAGGCCTAACTTATATACAACTCTTTACTTTATTTGTATCCAATTGATGAGTATGAGAACACACGTTTGTCTAATTTATACAAATAAAAGAATGCAAGACCATCGATAGACCCGAAAACATCCTCTTTCTCATGATGAAAATCGTGGGAAGTAAATAGTATAAAAAGTTGTTCAGGAAATACGGATGTGACTTGCCTTTATATGGAGAATATCAACCAATCCCTTGGGTAATTTCCAACTATCCCCTCCCTTTCATAAGTAGCCAAATTTAGTTGAGATTGTGTGTATATAAACAAATTAGTGTTCTCAGAATAAACAATGAATTGTAAGTAATCTAGAGAGAGGCGCCGTTACGCCCTGCCGTATGCATGTTGTATGTGTGAAGGAGTTCTACGGTGAATTTCTTCCTGAATAGAGTTAAGCTTATTTCAGTTTAAGTTTGCTAGCAAAGGTCTATTTTAAGAATGCAATTAATACGACATCCCATCAAAAAGTCTGAAGATGACAATAGAAAGTGTAAAAAGAACATATTTCTAAATAAACATAAATATACATAAAGTTATTATAAGTCCCACTGTTGGGCTTTCTCGCTCTGCCTCGGGCAATTAAATTCGCTCGTTCGAGGTCAACGCGCAGAGGCAGTAACCGGAGCTGGATAGCTGCAGTAAACAATAAAGTAAGACTGGCAAATGCTTCAAAAATATTTATTCCTTAATGAATATTTGGAGCATAATCAAGAACACCATCGTAACTTTATGAGAAATCAAATCAGATGCATGCGAAAAGTGCCTTTGACTCACCGAAGTAGGCAGCAAGAGTAGCCAGCCATTGCAGCAAGGTGTAAAGCACTGGACCCCATCTCACCTGGGCAATTCCAGGGCACGCCAGCACGTAGCATGGAGTCTACAAAAAGGCCATGGCCACAGCTGGCTGCTACATGCAGCGGTGTGTTGCCGCGGGAGTCACGTGCTAATGGATCGGCTCCGTGGGCCAGCAGGTTTTGAACTCGATCAAACCTGAATAGATAAGATCGGATTAGGATAAATTCAAAAAAAAGTTGTTTATAAGTTGAAATCCCATTGACTGAAATCGAGAAATTAATTAGCAACAAGCAAAGGAAGATCATTTGGAGAGTATTTGTTTAAAGGGAACCTGCATAAAGGAGCCTCAATAAACCAGAGATATACACAAACTAATGCAATTAATTACAAAAGAGTAGATTTTGAGACTCAGTAAATCGTGGATAAGAGTTCCAGTCCCCTTGGGCCGCCCAAAGTGATGTAGGAATGAGAGTTGAAAGTTCTGATATGAGCTTTGTTTCCCAATAGGTGTTCTTATCGAGGCTGAACTGCAGTTTTGACATTGCCTGGATCTTATCAGCACTCCCAACATAAATAAAACCCAAAAATCTCTGATAAATCTAAATTAAAGCTGATAGCCTTCAAATTGACTAAATATGAATGTAAAGTAACTTTGACAAAATCATTGTGGTTTCATGTATATAGATTTGCATCTTTACTATGGTCAAATTGTATAAGTTATTCGAAGGTATGAAGACAAAGATGGTGTAGCCTTTTGTGTGGTCGTAGTCTCCTTTCATTGTATAGAAGTTGATTGGCCTTGTTTTCGCAACTCTGTCATATCGATAGGAAGGCCAAGAGGAACGTACCTTGTCCAGAGTCAGACTATGGACGTGGTACATTGTCAGACTTTTGCCAGCATCGTCAGCGAGCTTTGCCATTCTTAGCACTACCCTACAACTCGTCAAAGAGACAAGTGAAGCCGATCCTTTGACCAATTGACTGCTAAACAATCGTGGTATCTCTCCTTCCGCCCTGGTATAATCACTAAACCTACATCCTCGTATCACGCCTTCACTTTTATAATTTTTTTTACCGTAATTATTTAAATGTAGTATGTTGTACCCATTTGAGCAGCTTTCATGAGAATTCTCCACACTTCACCCTGGCTTGCTCATCCCCTTCACCCTTGTGCTGGGAATGTTGATCAGTCTGCACTATTGTTACGCCGTCCGCCTTCCATAGGTCCTATCAGTCTCACTATTGTCCAATAGGATCCATCTGCTATCTCCCTGGCGCAAGTATATTACTCGACCCTTGCCACCCCATCTGTGCTACACGAGATATTATTTCCCACACTCTGCCTCTGGGAGACTAGCTTGAGGCTAAAGTCCCTGAGCAATTACCATAGTCAAGCCCTTGCTTCATGGACCATGTCTATGGAAAAACAAGCTTAGTGTCAGCCAACTAGCTCCAGTCTCAACGGCGTCTATCCTGTTTCGATCCCTAATACCAAGTCTATGACTTTCTATGCCCTAGTCTCTTGTGTGCCAACCCACAAATTTTGTGGTTATACTTGTTTTGATTAGGCTTACTTTAACGAGTTGTAGTGTGATGCTAAGACTGGCAAGACTGGCTGAAGATGCCGGCGAAACGTTTAGTTATGTACCATGTCCACAGTCCGACTCTGGAAATGATGATGCATACAATGGACTCCGGACTAGGTGCGTTCCTTTAGGTCTTCTTACCAATATGACCAAGTTGCGAAAACAAGGTCAACCAACTTCTGTATAAGTTATTCTATTCATTAAAAAATTAAAATTTGGCTTAAAGATTAAGAAAACTGTGGCTTACCTGCCATACATAGCCGCCATATGTAAAGGTGTGCTGCCTTCTCTGCCTCCTCGAATAGCTAATGCTTGTGTGCAGGGTGAAGACGAGTCTATAGTGCCGGGTTCGAGGTCTGTCTCGACAAGTTCGGCACTAGCCGACAGTATAAATAGAATGCGGGCGAGGCAAGCGGCACCCCGCATGGATGCCGCTGCTAGATGCAGCGGAGTTAGACCAGTAGAGTTTACAGTGGTAACAGCGCTCCGAAGCCGGTCGATCGCAAGAACTGATGCTGAATAAGCAAAGCCACTCACTCCTGAGACTGGCAACTTGTTGTAAGTAAGGTTGATATTAAGAGCCTCAGATTGCTCCGTTAAGTCCCAAGATGTTAATGGCTCAAGAAGAGCCTCTACAACATCTTCGTGGCCGTTGATACAGGCTATGTGAAGAGGAGTATTGCGCTAGAGTCGATATGTTAGGAATAAGAGAGCTATGAATGAGAGGAGAACATTTATTATCAAAATTGAGGAAATGTAAAGAAAATATTATAACGTAAGAACAAAATTCAAATAAAGGGAGATTATGGCATCTGGAATTAACAATAAGGGGAAACATGGGTCTAAAGCTGATTATAAAAAAGGGGGTATTGCATAAAGCATAACGCATACAAGAAAGCTGATTGATTAAATTTTTCAAAAGTATCCAGAACAATTGCATTGAAAACTACACAATTTCAAGCAAAAAGCAAAAATATGATTAGTCTCCAATGCCTTACATCTTGACTAAGGGGCGTTTGTATTCAGAAAGTGAGAGTAAAATAATCTCTTCAACTATTCGCGGATTTGCACCATACATTTTGTATGAAATTTTAAATGAGATTCGTAGATTAATTTAAACGAAAAACATTAAATCTGCCGTGATTGTATTGCAACTCTATGGTAGAGATCCCTGTTGAACCTATTTAATTCATGGCGAATCTACGCTTAGACTA